AAAAAAAAATCAAAGCCGGACATCATCCGATTTTCCCAACCGGGCTCGTGGCTTTCTTCCTCCTCTCACTAAAGCTACGGCTCGAAATCAGCTTCGGGAGACAACACTGCGCCTTGTCATCTTCTTTCTCAGTGGGACCACCAAAGTTGGAGGGGGTTCTCTCACTGCTCGTCCTAGAGTTGGGCCTGGAGAAGAAGTAAGGAGTCCCGCTCGACGATTTGGGCCTTCGTGCCAAGCCCGTTGGCTCGTGGGGCCCGTTTTGGTGGCTGCTGTTGGGTAATGATGCAGTTTCCTTGTCAGGGGACTCGTTGAAGAGCTCGGAGAGCCTCTTCTTCTTGTCCGGAGGGGATGTGGGGCCCACGGTGGATTGTTGTTGTTCGGTTGAACGAGCGTTGTTGATTGATCGTGGGTTACCTGACGAGAAGCTGTGGTGGACGGGTGTATTTCCACGAGAAGGGGTGAAATCTGTTTATTATATAGCAAGAAATAATCTTTAATAATTAGATGTGTGGGAAAGAAAAGTATGCAACAACAACAACAACAAAGTTTTTTAGTCCCAAATAAGTTGGGGTAGGCTAGAAATGAAACCCAAGAGAAACAGTGGTAAATAAAAATAAAAAAAAAATAAAACAAACTCAAAACAAAACAAAACTCAAAGCAAAAAAAAAAAATATATATATATATATATGCCAAAAAAAAAGAAAGTAAGATAACACAAGTGTTGCAGTTACTAGTGTTGTTAAATTAAACGAGCCTAGCTCTCGTTTGATATACTGGCCGAGCTCGAGCTCATTTAAAGCCGAGCTCGGCTCGATAAGGCTCGAAAATGGAATTTTTATAAAAAATTTATAGTTCGACTCGTTAAAGCTCGAGACATGCTCGAACTCGGCTCATTATGATTGTTAAACGAGCCGAGCTCGAGCTCGATTTCAGGCTCATTTGTATGACGAGTCGAGCTCGGCTCGGCTCATTAAGGGCTCGAGCTTGAGCTTGCGAACCTTAAGCTCGAGCTCGGCCCGTTTACAGCCCTAACACTTACACACGTACATACATAAAAATTATAACATGAGCTCTGAGTTAGTTTTATTTTCTTTTCCCAACAATGGTGGATCGAAAAAGGGTCTTTCAAGTTTTCCTTTTTTTTTTTAATAATCATCCAAGAAAAAATAACATTATAATGACCCAACTAAACACAGCAATGCACTGTAAAATGATTCTTACCGCCGTTAACGCTGAAGAAATCATCCTCACAATCTGACTCTAACCATGGCTGGGAATCAAAAAAGGCTTCATCTTTGCTGCCTGCAAGAAAAATCGAGGCATCTCTCATTTTGAACATTGTACACGCATAAGAGGATTGACAGGGTTATATGCTGCAAGCAAAACTAGATAGCAAACTAGCAATTATGAAGCAAAAAAATTCAGTAAATGTTATCTTAAAAGAAAATGGAACCCACAAAAAATGTGCAATCATTTTTAACTACCTAACTTCGTAGGACTCATATTAAGAGCTCGATCCACTTCTCGTGCTTTAGTAGTTAGAAATTGAAAACGATTAAAGAAATTCTTTAAAGAGCTGTATAGAAATTAATCGATGCATATGGGTTGCTAGGTCCTCAACAGGAACATTAATAAATGCATAGATAAATAAAAGTTTTTCAGAAAAAAAACATACAATTGAACAGCAAAAACAATTCAGAACAGATATTTGGAAATCTCATGGAAAAACGCCACCCATTCGACTTTAAGAAACTAATTGAATCAACATAATGGTGTGTTTATACAATTTATATGAACAAAATTATATCCAAAAGAACAATAAAGAAATAAAATGCATAATATGTTGCTACCATCAGAGGAAGTTCCAATATTTACAAAGATAGCAACATAACAGTGAACATAAAAACTACAAACTATGTCTTGAAAACAGACGGCTAAACAAATTATTGCAGGCACAATAATTTTATCAATAGCTAAGATGGTCCCCCATGGCAATCCAGTGCTTGTGATATATTTACCCAGAAAATAATTTAGACATAAATCCTATTTTTCATTGATAATGATAATATACAATTAATTTTACGAGTAATTTTCGCAACACTAAATCAAAATGTAGGGACAGTTAGAGGCCACCCCACAAGTTATTAAGCATTTTAAGTAACTCCTAATGGCAATTCATGTTTCTTCTGATAAACAGAAATCAGCAAAACAAAAACTAAACTCAAAGATAAAACTATCTTTGAAGATTTTCATTTGAAGATCCCAAAAGTACGTTAAAAAGATTTTGTATTCCAATATCATGTTCTAATTCTCAATTTATTCCAAAATATTATCTTTTTCAACCATCGACTAATCTTCAAATACCCTGCAAGAAATCTTCAAACATTCTTAGAAGATTTCACATGGAGTGTACATATGAAAAAATGGAAGATGCTACTGTCCCGTTACGGAACCATTCCGTCAGGATTTGTAACCGTTAGATCTACCATCTCCGACGGTTACATGATGATCTCACGGTTACAACTCGACGAAATGCTTCCGTAATGAGACCTTAGCATTTCCCATGAAAAATTATAGATATCTACAAAAGTAGGACCAAAAGAAATATATAAGATCAATCAACTTTACTGGATTCATGACTGCCAAGAAAACAAAATACAAAAAGTGCATACATACAAAAAATGCACAACCTTTCATATCCCAACCAATATTAAAAGTTTGCCTGCTTTTCGCTTTTCAGTACATAATAATAATACCAAACAACATAAAAATCATAACAGATGCAGCTCAATTAACAAAGCAAAAATTCGAAAAAAATAAACTAAAAAATCAATGTTAAAAAATGGTCCATATAATTATTACCTGCGTGAACAAATCGAGCCGGCGACAACTGAAGCTTGGGTGCTACTGCTACATCCACCGCCGTACGATCGCCACCGTTGACCATATCTGCCCGCTCTTTGACCGGCGACGGGGCCAAAACCTTCCCATCCTTCGACTCGATCGAAAACTGGACCTTCACGGCCGACGCCGTGCCTTTGTGCACCGAAGCACACGAACCCATCTCTATAAGTGACACAAATTAAACAAAAAAAATAATCTGAACACTTGAAAGTTAAAATTTTTTTCTCTTTTTCGGCAGATTAAACAGTTTTCTACTAGTTATATCAATTTTCTTGTTTCCCCTTCTCGTTACACATAGATTACCAAAAAAAATGTCGGGTTTTTAGAGAGAGAGAGGGAGTGAAGTAGAAGCGATAAAGGGGCCGCGTTTATGCGTTACGCTCACTGGTCTAAAAGATTATGATTTATTTAAAAACTAAATGTGGATGTTGTAAAAGAAAATGAATAAATTTCAGATTTTTTTAGGGGGCTTTTTTTTTGTTTTTTTTTTTTTTTTTTT